GGGTAGGCACTGTGAGGTGAAGGGGACTGTTGGGGTCCATAGAATCAGGGTTTGAGGAGGGCAAAGATATTACTGGTACCCAGGCTCACCAGGGTTTCTGTATTTCTGACAGCTGTCACGCTTGCCTTAAAGGTACGTGTAACAGTGACATTCTTCCCCCCATCCCCCGGCCCCCAGCCCCCTAGTGTGTCCTTGTTCCTAGATGGGGCAGGAGAGGCTATGGGACAGCTGGCAGAGCATGCCTTTCCTCTTCCCACCCTGCCCCCCAGCCCTATGACAGCCTGACTGGATTTCTACCTTCTGCTTCCTGCCCCCAGGGCTGCTGCAGTCCGTTCCAGCCTGTTGAAATCCTGTGCTTTGTCGCTCAGGTCCCACCTGCTAGAAAAATTGCTGAAGTCCAACAAGCCTCCCTAATCAAACACATTCTCTGAGCACCTGAAGGATGCCAGCATAGTATGAGTTTCCAGCTAAATCCAGAGAGACAAAATACAGGCCTTAGGCAAAAGGGCTTGATAGGCTAATCGGGGAGACAGGGAGGTCTATAAATCACTGTGATACAGCAGAGGGGGAAAAGGAAAAGGCTTTAACAGAAGCACAGAAGAGGTTGCTAGCTGGCTGAGGTGATGAGTTCCCCATCACCAGAAATGTTCAAAGAGAGGATGGTGAGGGATACTACGGAAAGGATTTCTGTGCCTTGTATGTATGGGTATGTGTTGGGAGGTGGATGCAGAGAAGGACTGTTGTTATTATGTGCCATTGAGTCGGCCCCGACTCATAGCGACCCCTCGGGTTTCCAAGGCAGTATCACTACAGAAGTAGATTGCCCAACCTTCCTTCCAAGGAGTGGCTGATGGGTTTGAACTACTAGGCTTCTGGTTAGCAGTCAAGTGCCTTTAGGCACTATGCTACCAGACTAGTAAGCACTAAATCTGTTGCCACCTAGTCAGTTCCTACTCATGGCGACTCTGTGTGTTACAAAATAGAACTGAGCTCTATGGGGTTTTCTTGGCTGTAATCTTTACCAAAGCAGATTGCTAGGCCTTTTTTCAATGGGACCACTAGGTAGATTCAAACCACCAACCTTTTGGGTAGTGCCCAAGAGCAAATCGTTTGTGCCACCCAGGGACCTGATAAATACTAAACCTCCTTCAGTGATTCTGTGGCATTCCCCACCTACGGGGAGTTTGTCTGAGGTACCACAGGGTGAGATGGCTCCCGACTTCACTGCCCCTCTAACTTGACCATGAGAGCACAGGCTGTTCTTCTTCATCTCTGTGTCCCCTCTACCCCCTCTTCCTGAATAGTGCCTATCCCCCAGCACAGACTTTGTGTGAAATTCGGTAGACTCTCGTGGGATGCTTGAGGAGTACAGAAGTACCAGGTGTCTCCCCTACTTGAGGAGCGTACCGTCCAGCTGAGACAGGAAGCAGTTGGGTCATACTTTGAGACAACCTGTGAGCAGGACTGAAGTGTGTGCTCCCAGGTGAAAGGGCTGGGGAACCTTCCAGAGAAAGCTGAGACACCCAGAAGATTCCTTCACAGCTGGGCTTACTGTGGGTCTAGAGGGCTGGTGGGGCTTGGTTAAACATGAAGTAGAGGTGGGCGCTAAGGAAGCTTAAAGAGCTGTAGCTTTGAGCAGAGGGGCTGGAATTGGGAGAAAAGAATGAAAGGCAAGACGTCAGGATGGACCCTTACCTGGGAGAGCCTGGAACAGAAGGGTGAGGGGCAGGGGCCTGATGGGGCACGAAGGAGTCAGCCCTGGAGGAGTGTTCCACCTGAAACATCTCAAAAACATAATAACAAAGCTGCTTGAGCCAATAGAATCTGGTCTGATACGTGACCTGGGTGTTGGGTTTTTTAAAAGCTCCCCCAGATGATTCTAATGTGCAAGGAAGCCTGAGACTTTCCACTGGTAACATCATAACCACCTGGAACATACGTTCCAAATACAGATGCCAGGCCCAACTCCAGACCTGCAGAGGGATACTGTCCAGGGCAGGGGCTTGGGCACCTACGTTTTTGATAAGGCCCTGGGGAGCCAAAGTGGAAAGCTGAATGACGAAGGAGCAGCCAGCCAAGACTCTTTCATCAGAATTGCAGTGGTGCTGGGCCTGTAGACTCAGCGTATGGAATATCTATCTGGCTTTGAGTTATGGCCTAAGTTCTCATTTTAGTTACACAGATTGGTACACATTGGTTCTTGTGTTCACTGCATCTCTCCTCTCACTCTGCTTGACCTGGGGGTGGCCACTTTACCGCTTCAGACCTGAGTCACAGGCTGGGCTGCCTGTCGGTCACAGGGGATGTGGGCATAGCATGTATACCCTGTGGGTTGCAGGAACATCAAAATTTCCCTCCTCCAACCCTCCCTCTCACCACTTCCCCCTTCCCCTAGTGCAGCCCCAAAATACGCTTTCCACTGTTTAGTAGGTGGCATAGTGCTTTAGGCATTTGACTGCTAACCAGAAGGCTGGTGGTTCAAACCCACCTGCTGCTCCTTGGAAAGAAGGTTGGGCAATCTACTTCCATAGTGATACCACCTCAGAAACCCAAGGAGGGGTCTCTGTGAGTCAGATCTGACTTGAAGGCTGTGAATTTGGTTATTTTGGTTTGGTTTAGTAGGTTGGGAATGGAAAAGGAAAGTCATAATTCACATGGTATTTTGCCCCAGCTTCCCTTCTTTGTTTCATGTTGGGCATCCTCAAGTTGAATGTCAACTCATAGTGAATCCATGTGACATAGTAGCACTGCCCCATAGGTTTTATAGGCTGTAATCGTTACAGGAGCAGATCACCAGGTCTTTCACCCGCAGAGTGGCTGGGTGAGTTCAAACCACCAACTTCTCAGCTGGCAACTGAGCACTTAACTCAGTCACCACTTACCAGGGTACCTTCTTTGTTTCCTATGCACATCCAACACTCTCTGCTCCCCTACCCACTCCCCCAAAATTGCTGATTCTTTGTTCCTGCTCCTCCAGCCTCTAAGAATGTCCTCATGGTGCCAGTTTGCCTCATCATCTTCAAATTCTCCAATCCCTGACCCTGCATCTTACAGAAACACTGTTCAGATGCACGGGGTGAATTGTATCGTAGCACTGGCTGATACGTCATCTCTGCATTTTAAACTAAAGCAAGAAACCCACTAATGATGGAAACATACATAAAAGAGAGTGATGCAGTAGCTACTGCATATTTTGAATTTTCTAGAAAGATAACATTTATTTTAAAATGTTACCCTTCAGTTTTTTGTTTTTTTCTTTGTTCTGATAACTCTTGCACAGAAATGTTTGTTCCCACTGTGGACCAGGGCATACAGAGGTGATAGTTGATGCCTGGGTAGGGGTGCAATTCCCCAAGGAGGGAGTTTACAATTAGAGGAGTCTTAAGTATAATGATAGCTGTAGAGTGTTTTTATGGATGCCTTATATCAGGTTATGGAAGGATGTTCTGTATCTATTGCTCAGTTTTTAATCAAGAAGTGTTACAGAATTTATTAAATGTCTTTCCTGCAACTAGTAGATGATATATATGTGTGTATGTGTATTTGTATGTACATGGGAGCTCTGGTGGGTAGTGCCTAAGGCATTTATCTGCTAACCAGAAGGCTGGCCGTTCAAATCCACCAGCCACTTCTTAGAAGGAAGGTTAGGCAATCTACTTCCGTAGAGATACCACCTCAGAAACCCAAGGAGGGGTCCCTGAGTCGGGTTCGACTCGATGGCAGTGAGTTTTCTTTTTGGTTTATGTTCATGTGGGACACTAGTCTAGCAGTTTCTTTTCTTATGTTTGTCTGGTTTTGGTATTAACATGGTGCTGGCAGCATAGGATGAATTGGGAAGTATTTCTTCCTCTTCTACTTTCTGGAAGAGTTTGTGTGGAATTGGTAGTATGTCTTCCTTAAATTTTTGGTAGAATTTGCAGTGAAGCCATCTGGGCTTTGTGTATGTGTGTGTGTGTGTGGTAGGGGGAGGGTTTTACCTACAAATTCAATTTCCTAATAGATATAGAACTATTCAGATAATTATTTCTTCTTGGATGAGCTTTCATACATAGTTTGTGTCTTTCAAACAATTTGGCCATTTCATCCAAATTGTCAAATATATTGACATAACATTTTTTGTAGTATTTCCTTTATCCTTTTAATACCAGTAGAATCTGTAGTGATATCCTTTCTCTCAGTCCTGAATTGGAAATTGTGTCTTTTCTCTTTTTTTTCTAACCAGTCTGTCTAGAGATTTATCAATTTTATGGATCTTCTTAAAAAAAAAAAAAAAAAAAACCTTCATTGATTTTGTCTATTTTTTTTGTTTCTATTTATTAACTTCTGCTCTTATTTTTATTACTTCTTTTCTTCTGATCATTTTAGACTTCATGTGCTTCTCCTTTTCTAGCATGTTTTTTAATGGCAGAAGGTCAGTTTATTTTAGACTTTTCTAATAAAAGCAATTATTGCTGAGAGAGCTGTGTTCTAGCCTTAAGAACCCAGAGTTAGGCATCTAGAAGCAGAAGGGGAGCTCAGCTTAGAGGTCTCAGCTGGGGGAAGACCACTGCTCAGTGGTCAGTGGCTTGTATTCGGCTAGCCACTTTCTAGCTGTGTGACCTTGGATTTAAGAATGTCTGAGCCTTGGTTCTTTGCCTGCATAATGAATCCAGTGATAATCCCCTCTCAGCTTCTGGAGATGAAGTAGTTGATGAATATAAAAGCCCTTAAAAAAAAGCAAACCAAATCTGCTACCATAGAATTGATTCTGACTCATATAGCAACCTCTGGTGGGTTTCCAAGGTTGTAAATCTTTATGGAAGTAGATTGCCTCATTTTCCTCCCACAGAGCAGCTGGTTGATTTGAACCACCAACCTTCTGGTTAGCAGCCACATGCCTTACCCACTACACCACCAGAACTCCTTATGAAAGCACCTAAGCCACCTGGAAAGGCCTTCTCAGACCAGTGCAAGGGATGGATGTCATGACGTTTTAAATAATAATGGCTTCTGTCTTTTCAGATCCCGAAACAACATGTACACGCCCATCCCCCAGAGGTAAGCTATGTGCCCATCCTCCTTCACCCCTTCCCCTTCCTCATTTCCAGGGGCCACTCCTCCTCACAGCTCTGCTTATGCCTAGGCTTCAGGCCCCAGGCCTGCTCAGATCTCTGGGCTTCTTAGACCCACTTTTCTTGGTCTGTGGCCACTACTAACTCTGTCCCCTCCTGCAGTAGCTCCCCGTTCCCAGCCTCTGTGCAGAATCCTGGCCTGCACATTTGGCGGGTGGAGAAGCTGAAGCCAGTGCCTGTAGCACCTGAGAACCAGGGTGTCTTCTTCTCGGGAGACTCCTACCTAGTGCTGCACAATGGCCCAGAGGAGCTCTCTCACCTGCACCTGTGGATAGGTAAGCTGGGATGGTGGGGCGCCTGGCCCGGGCAGTGGCTGGAGCTGGGGCTAGCACAGGTCTTATGAGCTTTTTCCCTGCCGCCTTCCTACCCATCCTAGGCCAGCATTCGTCTCGGGATGAGCAGGGGGCCTGTGCGGTGCTAGCCGTGCACCTCAACACCCTACTCGGGGAACGGCCTGTGCAGCACCGTGAAGTGCAGGGCAATGAATCTGACCTCTTCATGAGCTACTTCCCACGTGGCCTCAAGTACCAGGTTAGAGGCCACCTCCCAGCCCCCCGACCCTGTGGCTCCCCTCAGAGTCAGCCCCCGTTTCTGCTGGTTCTCACCCTGCAGAAGGCCTGGGTGCCCTCAGGCCTGGGTCTTCACCTCTCCACCTGTTTCCTGATGGGATGAGTATGAGGGGCTCCAGATCACCCATCAGCCCACTCAGGCCAGCTGTCTGCTGCAGGAAGGCGGTGTGGAGTCAGCATTTCACAAGACTTCCCCAGGGACCACCCCAGCTGCCGTCAAGAAACTCTACCAGGTGAAAGGGAAGAAGAACATTCGTGCCACAGAGCGAGCACTGAGCTGGGACAGCTTCAACACTGGGGACTGCTTCATCTTGGACCTGGGCCAGGTGGGTGGGTAGGGCTGAACTTCACACTGTTTTAGCACCATCCTTTAAAAGGAAAGGGGACCAGGAGGCCAGGAGAGAGGGAGGAAGCTGAGGAGCTATAAGTCTGTTCCCAGTTGGGCCACTTCAGCCATTAGAAACATCCCTTTATTTGTGAGGACAGAAATTGGCCTCCTTTTGACTTCTTGCCATTGCCTCTAATACTGGAGCTTACTCCCTCCTTCTCCTGAAAGCCTTTGATGCTTAGAAGTTAGCTGCCTACCAGACGATTCATTAATTTACTCACTCATCCATTCATTCACTGGATCTATGATGCCCTCTCTGAGCTAGCACTGGGACCACAATGCTGGATAGAAAAGTCCTGGTCCCCAAGCTTTTCCTGGGATGGCAGCCAAGATGCATCTGTCACCTGTCATAACATATGGCAGTATGTGATGAGGGCTTTATGGGAGCCAGTGGCTGTGGGCTGGGGGAGCTGGGAGATAGGGGCCTCAAGCCTGAGCCAAAGCCACTTGTCCCAAGAAGGTGCCCTTTGACTAGACCTTCATGGAGCAGGTAAGCTGAGCCAGAGGTGGGGAAGTGCAGGAACACAGATGGAGACAGAAGTGAAGGGGTAGGAATAGGAGCTGTGGGAAAGAAAATTGTTGAAGAAAAGTGAGACTCAGGTTATGAGGAGATTGAATGTTTGTCTAAGGAGTATGGACGGCATCTTGTAGTACTGGAGATTCTTGGGCAAGAAGATCAACCCAGGGGTTATTTGTAAGGTAGATTAGAAGCTTTGAGGTGGAGCCAGTGAATGGATCTTGTAATAAACGGTTCAGGAGTCTTGAGACGTTTTGCCTGGCAGCAGGTATGGGAAGGGGTGAGATAGAGGTTCAAGGATGGCCTTCACCCAGTCATCCTTTCAATAAATATTTACTTTGTGTCTATATGGGAGCGGGGCTCTGCCTTAGCATTTGACATACACCAGTGAACAAAACAAAATAAAACAAAAATGTCATCACTAGAGAAACTTACTTTCTAGTCATGGGAGATAGATTATAAATATAAAGAAATAAATATATGGCAATAAGTGATGTGGGGAAAAAACAGGAGGGGAGATGGGATGGGCAAAGCCACTCAAAGAGGGTTGTCATTGCCATTATCAGGGAGGGCTCTGGATCTGCTTCTGCCTTTTTGATCATCCTGCCTTAGCGGACGGCTCTGCCGAGAGAGAGAGAGAGAGAGAGAGAGAGAGAATCCTTCCTCTTCCTCTGAGCTGTCTCCCCACACACTGCCAAGGGAAACAGCGTTCAGGCAGCTGGCTTTGACCTGGCCTCTCTGCTTCCCTTCAGACCATCTTGGCCTGGTGTGGTGGAAAGTCCAACATCTTGGAGCGCAACAAGGCCCAGGACTTGGCTCTGGCCATTCGGGACAGCGAGCGGCAGGGCAAGGCCCAGGTGGAGATCGTCACTGAGGGGGAGGAGCCTGCCGAGATGATCCAGGTAGTAGGGATGTTGATGTAGGTGGCTGGGACCCTCTGCTTGGAAGCAGTCAAAAGAGGTGGTGATCATCTGGAGGGCATGAGGGTGCCAGTGGAGGGTGGCAGAGAAGGGCCTGGGATACTAATGAGGACTGGGGCTGGCTCACAGGGTGCCTTTGTGTGATTCAGAATAAGGCACTCACTGTGGGTGGATGCAGCCTTGAGGACAACTGGGCTGGCTGGTGCAGTGGACTGGACCCAGACTCACTCCCCTCTGCTGGGTGTCCTTGTTCAGGACATAGCTTAGTCTCCCCAGAAGTGGTGGCCCTGGGCATGATGGGTTGAGAAGGTCTGGGGCAGATGCCCAGGAGTCCCTATAAACCTGGCCTATCCCTGCCCCTGCAGGTCCTGGGCCCCAAACCTTCTCTGAAGGAGGGCAACCCTGAGGAAGACCTTACAGCTGACCAGACAAATGCCCATGCCGCAGCCTTGTATAAGGTGGGAGCCTACACAGAGCAGCTGGGGGTGCATGCAGGGCTAAAGTGAGGGGAGAAAAGGAGTGGAAGGTCGGGTGGGGTTTTAGGGAGGTTGTTCTTGGGTTGGAAGTGAGAAAGGTATGGGAAGAGAGTGGATGTCATGCCCCCCTCAGTAGAGAAATACCACTTCACTTCTGGCTCATTCTTGGAGAAAGGAGGTTTGAAGCCATCGATAAGCTTTGCTTTATTTATTTTTTGCAATTATTTATTTATTTTAATGAAATATAATTTATATACAGTGAAATACACAAAACTAAAGTGACAGGGGTCAATGCATTTTTTTTTTTTTTTTTTTTGGCAGTGTTCCCTCCCCTCCCCTCTCACCCCTGGTAACCAACAAAGAGTTTTCCTTCCATATATAAACCTTTCCTTGACCCTCCACAACAATGAACTAATACTGTATTTGTCCTTCTGTGATTGACTTATTTCACTCAGCATAATGTCCCCAAGTTCATCCATATTATGCAGTGTTTTGCAGACTCTACATTATTCTTTAGTACTGAATAGCCTTCCATTATGTGTATGTACCATAGTTTGGTCATCCACTCTTCCGCTATAAATCTTTCCACTTTGTTGTTGTTGTTATGTGCCCTCGAGTCAAACCAGACTCATAGTGACCCCTCCTTGGGTTTCCGAGGCAGTATCACTACGGAAGTAGGATTTGTTGTTGTTGTTGTTATATGCCATGGAGTTGGCCCCGACTCATAGTGACCCCTCCTTGGGTTTCCGAGGCAGTATCACTACGGAAGTAGGATTGCCCAACCTTCCTTCCGAGGAGTGGCTGGTGGGTTTGAGCCTTCTGGTTAGCAGTCAAGTGCTTTAGCCACTATGCTACCAGAGCTCCCGTCAAACCAGACTCATAGCGACCCCTCCTTGGGTTTCCGAGGCAGTATCACTACGGAAGTAGGATTGCCCAACCTTAATCCACTTCTGTATAGTCCCTGTCAAAGCTCAGGGCTCCAGGATTATCTTCTGTATCTCTGTCAATTGGTTTTTCTTTTCTTTGTTGAAGAGGGTCTGTGTCACTTGTCTGCCTATTCCTCCATCTTACTGGAAGTTTGTTTGTATTTATTTGTAATTTGAAATTCCACCTAATTCCAAAAATGGATTTTGCCCACTGTGCTGCAGTGGTTGAGGCTTATGGGAAGGGGTGAGGGTTTTCAGTGCATTCCTCCCTGTCCCCTGTCTGCTCCTGAGGGCCTGGGAGTGGTGTGTAGGGGTGGAGCAGACAGACTCCAGAGGACAGGCAGAGCCGGAGGGAGGTGTACAGGTGTGGGGGATGGGGAGTGGGATCTAGCATTGCCCTTTCTTCCCCAGGTCTCTGATGCCACTGGGCAGATGAACCTGACCAAGGTGGCTGACTCTAGTCCCTTTCCTCTCGAGCTGCTCATATCTGATGACTGCTTCGTGCTGGACAATGGGCTCTGTGGCAAGATCTACATCTGGAAGGGTATGTGTGGCCTCTCCACTCCAGCCCCAGACTCCTGCAACTACTGTGCCTCAGCAGGCCTCCCGTGGAAGAGTTCTGCTTGCCTGGCTGTTTTTCAGACCCAGCCTCTGGAAGCCTGGGTGCTTCCGGCTGAGGGCTTTCCTTTTGCTGTTCCCACCCTCTAAGTCCTGGGCAGTGGCTCTGAAACTTGAGCACTGATCAGAATCGCCAGCCTGAGGGCCTGTTAAAATCCCCATCCCCGACTAGATGGCACATAACAACAACAAGGTCTGGGGTGGTGCCCAAGAAGTTGCATTTCTAACAAGGTTCCTGGTCAAACTGATGCTATTGGTCCAGGGACCCCACTTTGAGAGCCCCTTTTCTACAGAATTCCTAGGTCTTTGGGGCTTCAAGAACCCCCTGATTCTGAGATTCTGCTTTGAGGTGTGTTAGAGATAAATTTTAGATAAATTAAACGTACCTTTATGCAGTGGATGATGAACCTGTAGAACCTGTTTGTCCAAGAGGTAGTAGCAGCTGGAAATAGAAACACTGGTATGCAGGAGCCTGTTCTGCTTGTTTGACTATACCAAATTGTTGAAACAAAGCTCTTGTGTGATACTTGCAGCCTCCAGTTACTTTCCTATGGTTGTCTTTTCTTAAGCATGTCTCCCATCCTGTGCAGATGATAAAGTCTTGAAAGCAAGAACCACACTATCTCTAGTGTCTTGACAAAATAGCACTTGCTCAATTAATGTTCATGGGATCAACTGAGGTTAGGAAGATGAAGTAGTTTGGTGTTTTAGTGTAGCTGCTGCCAGGCAATGAGGACTGTTGTTGAGTGCTGTTGAGTAGATCTTGGCTCACTGCAGCCCCATGTAGAACTAACTACCCCATGGGGTTTTCTAGGCTGTAATCTTTCTGGGAGCAGATCACCAGGTCTTTCTCCTGTGGAGCAGTGGGGAGGGTCTGAATCACCAAACTTTAAATTGGCAGCTGAGTGCTTAACCATTGCACTATAAGAGCTCCTTAGTTAGTACTCACTGCTGTTGGGTTTCCATGGCTGTAAATCTTTACAGAAGAAGAATGCCTCATCTCTTTTCTAGGGAGCGGCTGGGGGGTTCAAACCACCGACCTTTTATTGGTCCTTAAAAATAGCAGAAATGAAGGTGAAAGGGGAGGGCCTGGAGCAACAAGTGGCACTGGCAGGATTCAGAGAGGGAAGGAATAGGAAGAGAGAAAATTGTGGCACTGGGGCTGACCTCCTCCCACAGGACAGGGCACACTTCCCATGGAATCAACGCCAGGTGTGGAGGGGTTTCCAGAACCACTCCCAGAAGCTTATTTAACTCAAAGCAAACAAACTATTACGAAGAGGGAAACAGGACGAAACAGGAAGCTTGAGGGGCCAGGAAGAGAAGTGTCTCATGGGCAGGGGTGAAGCCGGTCGATTCAAAGAGGAAGGATATAGCATATTAATCTCAGATATATTGTACTTGCTAGATATTTTTAATAGCCTGACTGGAAAGCCAACCAAATTCACAACTTTATTCCCATGGAAAAAAATGCCTTAAACTAGAGCACAGTTTGTGTGAAAGGGACAGCCTGCAGGAATAAATGGATCACTCTGTGGACATGGTTTGTAAAGGATTTTAGTTGGCATAATCATTAGGCATGTGTAGACATAGGCCTCATGAAGTACATTCATTGCCATCAGAAATCACACTCCTTTGTTCTATTTCACTTTACAAAAAAAGGCTTGGTAAGAGAGTACAGCTGACAGACTCAAGAAGCAAGGAGTCCTGCTGGGGGGATCCCTGGCCTTAAGAGTTTGATGCCAGGGAGAATACCCATGCTTCTCCCTGAAATATCCCTGGAGCACTGGTTGGAACCAAAGGTTCTGATGATTGAACAGTGAGAAGGGTGAGAAGCCCAGGTTTTCATCTAGCTTAGAGCCGCCAAGTTGGGAGAAGTCTCAGGGGCTGACTTTATACCTCCAAGAACTCCTCAGCATTCTTGGGACTTCCTGGCCCATTTAACTTTTTAAAAAATTGGTCTAGTTTTTAAAAGTTGCCAGCTATCTGCTGGACCCCCTTAAATTTTCCTAAGAAAATGGGATGGGAGCAAAAGAGAATCCCTGTCCTTTTTTTTTAAAAAAAAAATCTTCCTGTGATCCAGGGCGAAAAGCTAACGAGAAGGAGCGGCAGGCGGCCCTCCAAGTGGCCGAGGGCTTCATCTCCCGCATGCAGTATGCCCCAAACACTCAGGTGAGGGGAAACCCCATGCTCCCCAACCCTATTCCTGGGCTCATCCTGTGGCCTCCTACCCCCCAGGCTGGACAAGAATGGCAGGACAGCCTCGGGCACAGTCAGGAGCATTCCAGCCCCCTTACCAGACACATACAGTGCAAAAGCACTTCTTAAATCTTCAAAATTTAAGAAGACGTGATTTTCCTAAGAGGATCCTGGGCAGCAGCCCCTGGAAGCCCGGAGTACTGGGTCTACCTCTGAATAGTTTGTGTTCCTTCTCTGGGCCATGACTCCTGGCTGGTTCCACCCCTTCTAGCCCTAGCATGGCAGTGGCTCATCAAGCTATTCCCAGAGGCACTGATAAGACTCATCTATAATTGGTGACATCTGTCAGACTGTGCACTCATGTCTTTGAGGCCGTCGCTAGTCTTAGCCTGTGTCCCTGTAATCTGGTTTCCCATTTCTTGGTTTACCTGGAGGAGTGGCCCTGGTCTGGATTGAACGTGGGCTCAGGCCCAGTGCCTCACAACCTCCTGCTTGGCTCCAACCCTTTCTGTCCTCTCTGGTGGAGGCTGAGGTGGCATCCCTGTGAGCCAGACCTCTCTCCTACTGTCTTTGCAGGTGGAGATTCTGCCTCAGGGCCGCGAGAGTCCCATCTTCAAGCAATTCTTCAAGGACTGGAAATGAGGGCTCACATCTCTCTCCCCGCTACTCTCTCGCCTGGGCACCTTCTGCCTGCTTGTTCCTCCTCTGGCACATGGTCACTGTGGACAAGCGCCCCCTTTCCCCTCCCTGGATATCCAATAAAGCAAATATTTTCCCTGGCTCTCCACCTTTACTGCACACCATAGCACCATACCACAACCATGATCATATCATACCCATTCTGTCAAGCTGATTCCAATTCATGGTGACCCCGTGTGTCACAGGGTTTTCTCTTGGCTGTGATCTTGACAAAGGCCTATTGCCAGGCCCTTCTTCTGTGCTACCTCTGTCAACCTTTAGGTTAGTTGTTGTTGTTGTTATTTGCCGTTGAGTTGGCCCTGACTCATAGCAACCCCTCCTTGGGTTTCCGAGGTAGTACCACTAGAAGAAGGATTGCCCAACCTTCCTTCCAAGGAGTGGCTGGTGGGTTTGAACTGCCAGCCTTCTGGTTAGCAGTCAAGTGCCTTAGACACTATGCTACCAGAGCTCCTTTTAGGTTAGTAGTCAAGCGCAAACCATCAGTGCCACCCAGGGACCTACCTGCACTGCATGGCCTGGGCTAGTTTTCACGGCCCCCACCTGTTCACCCTGCTTATGGCTGTGCTGGAGGCAGAGTAGCACACAGATGGCAACTCCACAGCTCCCAAGGGTTCTGAGCCTCCTCTGGGGCCAGATCTGGCTTTGCATGACTGAGGCAAAGGGGCTGGGAGTGCCAGGCAGGCACTGCTGTGAACCCAATAGGAAGGTGGCACAGCTCCAGGCCTCAGGATCACTTTCACCTAGGGGTTCAGCTCAGTCTCACATTCCCAGCCTGGGGAAGGTTGTGACGGGCTCGGGATGCGTATCTATTTAAGCCAGTATTTCCTGAGACGCCCTAATAAACCACCACAAGGCTGATTCCAAATGCCCTGTGCTCACCGAGCAAGAAGACAACTCTTCACTACTGTACAGAAATCTGGCTTGTTACTGCATGTCACATTGCTTTGTTGTTTGGGTGATAAGCCCAAGGCTACCGTGGGGCGATGGGAAGAGCACTAGCCTGGCAGTCAGGAGTTCTCGTTCTCACCCTGTCTCTATTTGATCTTGCACAAGGATCATTAGTTCATTCTCTTGTATAACTGGATGGTGAATGGAATACCAAAGGCAAACAAAACTCCACTTGCCATAGAGTCAGCTCTGACTCATGGTGGCCCCACGTGTGCCAGAGTAGAACTGTGCTCCACAGGATTTTGAATGGCTGATTTTTTGGAATTAGGCCATGAGGGCTTTCTTCTGAGGTGCCTCTGGGTGGATTTGAACCTCCAACCTTTTGGTTAGCAGCCTGAGAATATTAACTGTTGGTACCACCTAAGGACTCCTCAAAGAATAGACAGCTCAATAGGGGTGAGACACGAGTAGCCAAAAAGGTCCCATTCTAGAGAATATGACTCAGGGGGGAATGGCCATGGTGTGAGTCTGTATAAGTCTGGCCAAGAGCCCCCGAGGCCTGGCAAGGCTGCAGCTGCCCTGACCCACTCACCCCCGTCACTCCCAACCGTGGGCCCTAAGAGCTGCTGAGCTCTGATACACTAGACTCACCCATCTAAACATCTAAACAAACAAAAATCCTGTCCAAGTTCATCTTGAGTTTGTGCCAAGAAGCACAGAAAAATCAGCTCCACTGCTCTGCTAGCCCCTCCACGGAAACGTGGAACCTGCACCGACAGTCTATGAGAAGAGTGCATGCCATGGATGGTTTTTAAAAGGGCAGAGAGTAAAGGCTGCACTAAATCAGTAATTGACAATATTTGTAAGGTTGTTCGGCGTATACCATTTTCCTAAGACACATGCAGATAGTAAGATTTTTGCATCTCCTTTCAGAGGGTTTAGACACCCCTGTATCAAAAGAACTCCAATTTAAGTATACCTGGATTATGTATTGCTAACATCCCAATATACGAAATGATGAGCACTCTATTGTATGGAGAGCATCACACGGTGAGTGAATTGGGATAAACTGCTCCTGTAGATGAACACTGGCCTCCCCTCCAACCAGAGGCTCCTAGGGACTGAGGGGATCTCCAGAGATGTGCCTAGAGGCTGAGCATTCACAGTTGGGTCTGCTGAGTTACTTTCTGGTCTCAGAGCGAACAAATGGAGTAAGAAGGAAAGGAACCATTACACCAGTCACTCAAAAATAAAGGCTCAGCTGCTCTATTCTCCTCTGCATTCCAATCCCCAGAGTCCTTGATACAGTTAATACTTGACTGATAACAGAAAGGTTGATGGTTGAGTCCACCCAGAGGCACTTTGCAAAAGAGGCCTGGCAATTTACTTCCAAAAAAATTAGTCACTGAAAACCCTAGGGAACATGATTCTACTCCAATACACACAGGGTCATGAGGAATTGGAACTGACTCAACAGCAATTGGAAAAAAAAAAAAAAAAATCTAACGCCCCACCTGAGCCAAATAATCTTCCTATCATCTTGGCTAGTTAGCTAAGGACCCAGTTTGGAGGAAGGGGAACAAAAGATTAGTTCGGGTCAGGCAAAGATGAAAAATGCAAACTGCAGGGTTTGTGACTACCCTCATCCTGGAGCCATCTTGCCGAGCAGCCTGAAGATGCCTGAAGACTTGCGTCCAGCTGGAATGGACATCTGCCCTCCCACCTCTGTGATGGGCCCCAGCTCCAGAGGATACAATTTGGAGAGGCTTGCAGGGCCTGGACATGGTCTCCCACGGCTCTACTTAAGAAAGAACAAAGGACAGGAAAGCAGCCTAGCATTTGTAACTCCCCTTCAATAAAAGAGACCACCCAGGGGCTGGTTTGGGGGAAGGAGGCCAGTGATGTTCTGAAAGTAGAGCTCAGAGTGTGGGGAATGAAACTTCCTCACAGCCCAAGTACTGAAAGCTGAATGACAGCAAAGGCCAGGCCTTGGCAGAACCAGTGGTGCTCTGCTTGTCTGCCCCACTGCCAACTGAGATTACCCTGGCTGGGAGGCCCTGCTTTTGCAAACTGAAGAAATTAGGGAAAACCCATGTGGATGCCTCATATCAGTCAATCTTGAACACAAACCAGGACCATCTCTTCCACTGGCTAGAGCTTGCAAGGAGCTTCTGAGGCTGGCAAGTGTAGCCAAGGGCATCGCTTGTTCATCAGGATGGACATAATGTGAACTCAGCAGAAGTTTAGCCTGGGCAGAGGCAACCTGCTCCTTTCAGGAGCCCAGGATCAGTGCCAGAACCCCCTCTCTCCCTTTTCTGTGCTTTCATCTGCTGGAGTGCCTATAGTGCTAACTAACCATGCCTGGCATTAGAGGGCCACAAAAAGGTGCCAACGTGAGGATAAAGATTTTGTTTTGTTAGGCCAACAACATATTGTTAGAATAAAACTCTGTATTTTTAGTTAAGATACCATTTCTTTAAAACCTGGCTTCAACCTTGTGTTGCAATTAACTTGGTCTCTCTCTGAGTTACAGTTACTAGTTCCTGCTGCATTCTGTGATTTAAGACAGAGCCATCTATGTCAACAAAGGCTCTTGGGCTGGACGTTAGGACCTGTCACCTAGCCTTTGACAAACACCGATGGAGCCTCTTAAGGATTACCTGACTGCCGAGGACTCACAGGAAACATTCATTTCTTAATTACCCATTGTCCCATCTAACTTGTGGAAAACGGTTCATTAATCCTACATATGTGTTAAGTCTCTTTTTCGTTTAGTATAAAAACCCCTGGTTGCAAACACTGAGCAGAGTGGGTATTTTTGGAACCACTGAAGACCCCATCTGTCTCTCGTTGGTGCACCTCCTAATTAAACTCATCTTCTCCATGAGCTCTGGTGTGGACTACGGTTGCACCACTCCAGGGCAGAATGCAACATTTTTTGGTTAACACAAAAAAAATTTTCTCAGAAGAAAACACCTGGTACATTAAACTAGAAAGAATCTTTTATTTGTGAACTGCTCGTATATGAAATTCACGTGCCCTCAAGGCTAGAAAGCCATCCTTGATGTGAACTGAAGAGCCTCCATAGATGAGGAAGCCCTAGTTTCAGGGCCATTAGGGTGAGGGTAGCAATGGCAGATAGTGGAATGGCCATTTCCACATCATAAATAATGGGGGAGGGGGAAGGACTGGGGAAACAAATGAGGGGGACAAGGGGCCAGAAACCCTAGAGGGGACCCTGAGACTGACCAAGTCAATGGGAGAGAAAAGCCTGGCCAGCTGAGGGCTCCCGTGGCTGACTTGGTTCACGCTGCCCACAGCTAGCTGCTGCCCCCTGCTGACTGCTGCCACTGCTCTCTCCTCCCTTTGGTTCTAACTAGTCTCCTAGGCCTACAGACACAGGGCCGGAAAGATGGGCTGCCCAGGGAGTCAGAATTCTGGTATTCTCGACTGAGGCTATCATAGGGATATGTGTAACATGGGGATATGTGTAACATCCAGATGGGGTTTTTCCATCACACTCTTTCTGAAGTAACTTGAGATCTACAACTGTAAACTACAGTCCAATTAAAATTAAGGCATATTCTCCTTGTTCTGGAGACAGGTCTGCGGGGAGCGGGTCAAATCCAACCCATCCAATGTCTCATGTAGGTAACGGTCCTTGGCTTTCCCTGACCAAGCCCAAGAGCTTCCTACCCCCACCTGCTGAGACAGTGAGGGGCTGGCTTAGCCAGAGTGGCCCTGACACAGCCTGCTGTGGTCCTTTGAAAGCTCCCATGGCCCTGCCTTCAAGTCTGTCCATCAGTCAGCCTCTGGGGTTGGTCAGATTGTCCACGTGCCTTCAGATGAGTGGAGTGGCAGCTCACACACACCTGTGAAGGTGAGATCCTTGGAGTGAGAAGCTTGGGGTCCACAGTACTTCGGTGCTCCCAACAAGGAGGCCTGTCCCTTTGACACCCCAGCCAAATAGATCTCCAAGGTCTTAAGCAGCCGCCTTGGGCTCTTCTTGGCCAACAATTCCAAGTCTGGAATAGAGGATTGGGGAACAAAAGGCATGAGGGATCATTAGACTGTACAATACTCATGGTCTTAAGGCTAGTAGCTCTACGGAGTTCCCCTAACCCACGTTATGGAGAGAAAGGTGAGTCTTCTAAGATGAAGAGATGACCAGATGGGGAGACCTAGAAGCCAGATCTAGCCATAGGGACTATACATTCTACCCTGTCTGGGGCAAATCTCAATTTCTAATGGTCAGTCCAACTTCCAATTTTTGATTCAGAAAATATGATCATCATAGGTATAAGGCCATGAAGGCAGGAAAGTGGTAGTAGAGAAAGCTGAAGTACCAAGAAGCTGGAATTTGAGAAATCACAGATGGAGGTTGTGGGGAAGTGAACTATAGCCAAAACCAGTCTAGCGACCAGGCCTAGTCCCTGAACCTGGGGATGCTAGGAGCATAGGTCTCCCTGGGAAGAAGTGCTTACCTTTGAGGACGAAGCCTGAGTCTGAGATGGTTTTCTGCTGTGTCTTCCAGACATAGGCAAGGCGGAGGAAAGTGGCTGCATAGAAACTGTTTACCACTGGGATTACTGTTTGCTGCCGATTACACTCCCTACAGGACAAGGGAGATGATTTGCTCATGAACAAAGCTGACCCTTGGTTCCCTTCTACCCGTCCCAGGAGAATAGGCCTGAGCCCGTGGGCCTGAGCCAGCACAGACAAAGGACACCCCACCAGTTCCCTGGCAGCTTTCACATCAGAGGTCAGAGCTGAAGAAGAGAGATGGTGGAGGGGGAGGGAGGAGAGTGCAAGTGGACTTTGTCCAGGTCCTCCAGGAACCAGTGGGTGAGGAAGAGAGTTGGGGAAACTAGGGTGGGAATGAGTGAGGCTCTGCTGGATCACTCTAATCAGCTGGCCGGAGGTAAGCAGTGTGGGGACTCACCTGGTGAGACACTCCTCCCTTAAGGCCTGGATTGCGATACGGGTGATATTCACTGACATCAGACAGAAGGGGAATTGCTGGAATGGAGGGGGCAGTGGGTCAGTGGCAACAACTCTGGCCTTGTGTTTCCCATCATGGACAGCCCAGGGTGGCCAGCAGGTACTAATGACAATTACAGTACCAGAGGCAGAAGCTGATACCATTGAGCACTTATACTTTATTTTCACAAGAATCTTCCCATCTTATAGACAGGAAACTGAGACTCAGGAACCTCAGGTAACTTTCCTAAGGTGTCAGAACCAAAGTTCCAACTGAGGTCAATGTGCTCTGAAGCTGGTGTGCATAACCCCTGTGCTAGCACTCCAGTGTCTTCAACAGGCCCACTCACGCACTCTCCTTGGCTTTCACCAGCCCCACCCTCTGGAATGAAGATGAATACAAGAGAGGGTCTTGGGGATCTTCGACATAAGCGCCATCCTGGGTGAAGTCAAGTCACTAATCATTATAAAAACTCTATGAGATAAGTTTTATTACCTACAGTTTCTATTTCCTACGATCCCTACCTCACAGAGTTGCTGTGAGGATTAATTAATATATGCAAAATACTAAGCACAGCACCTGGTCCAAGCAGGTGCTAACAAATGTTTATAATTATTACCTTTGCCTCAACATGGGCAGCTGAGGTCAGCAGCAATGCATTTATAACTTCATGTTATAGATCAGTATTGCCTATTTAATTATCATATAATCTTACACAATTATCTGCCCTTTCCCACGAATTTTTCAGTCTAAAAAATAAATAGGAGAACAAAAACATGGGAGCGAGCATAATAAACAGTGGATCTAAAGCGTCATTCACACTTGAGAACATCTTATAACCCCATTTATTAAAAATCAGTGAAAAACAGGAATTCAGATATAAAAATCTAAAATACCTCCTTTCATTTAGCAATTCCTTTAGAATACTAAAGCTAAAATACTACACAGTCTGTATTAGGGAACTGACTAAAAGACAGCAGAGGAAATCACATCTGGACCTTTTTTTTTTTTTTTTTTTTTAATTTGGGTGAAAGTTTACAGAGCAAAATCATTTTCCATTCAACAGTTCATACACATTTTGTTTCATGACACTGACTGCAATCCTCATACTGTAACAGCTTTCTTCCCACTTCCTCCCTGTGGTTACCTTTTCCCTACACCCTTCTTTCCTATGCATTTCTGCCCTCAGAACTATCTCCCTCTGCAAATGCTGCCCTTCTGATAGCCCATGGTTGATTGTTTTAAGGAGTGTACCTACCTGGTATAAATGTTCACTGTATATGTCTGTCTACTGTTTGGCTGGGGGCCATGGGAGTGAGATAAATTCTAGGCCCAAAGGGTGACTAGGGGCCACAGTTTCAGGGGTTTCACCAGTTTCTATCTGATCGGTAAGCCTGGTCTTTTTTTATATAATTTTGAGTTTTGTTCCACATTTTTCTCCCATTCTATCCAGGATCTCCTATTTTGATCCCTTTCTGAGTAGTTGACAGTGATAGCTGGGCATCATCTCATTCTGCTGGTCTCAGGGTCATGTAGGTTATGGTTTGCATGGCCCACTAGCCCCTTGGACTAAATGCTTCCATGTATCTTTGGTTTTCTTCATTCTTCTTTGCTCCAGATGAGGGGAGACCAATTGTTGCAACTTATATGGCTGCTTGCAAGCTTTTAAGACCCCAGCTGCTACCCACCAAAGTAAGATGCAGAATATTTTGTGTAGTATGTTATGCCAATTGAGCTTGATGTCCATCACAACCTTGGTTATATATAGGCATTCATATAGCACATACAAATAAGTACATCGAAATATCATCTGCCGAAGATGGCTGAATAGGCAGACAAGCTACACAGAACCTCTTCAACAAAGAAAAGAGAAACCAATTGACACTGATACAGAAGATAATCCTAGAGCCCTGAGCTTTGAAAGGAAGGATACAGAAGTGGATTAAACACCAACTAGTAGAAGAACCTGAATGAAAACAGTGAGTAAGGAGATAAACAGAGCTGCAGACTGTCAGCTACCCTGACGGCACAGACAGCCTGAATATTTCCAAGTGGTGTTAGGACCTGAGAATTAACCTAAAAATCGGCTCTGCTCACCAAGGGCTCCATGGATGACTGCACTGGTGGCTGATGATTAAACAGGGAAACAGCAGAGATGGAGAAAAACTGAGCTGTGGACTTTTGGCTGTCTGGAGATTGCAGCCATTTTGAATGTTTACAAGTGGTGGCTATTTTGGATTTTAAAGTGACAGCATTCTCATTCAGATTCCAGGGACCTAAGAACAGGCTCCACTCGTCAAAGACAGCACAGACATACAGGAGGCTGGCACCTGGAAAGAGACAAGTGCTGAGTGCGTAAGTGCTACCAACTAGTGAATAGAGGAGTACAGTGCCCTACTTATTCAGGTAATATCCAAACAAAACAAAGAAAATGAAAATCTTGGGCGAATCATTCCAACATACAATCACCAATTAAATATAAACACAAAAACATCACCAATTGTTGCAACTTATATGGCTGCCTGCATATCTTAGGCCACAAAGCAAGCCTCAATAAATTTAAAAACATTGAAGTACTGCAAAGCGTCTTCTCAGATAACAATGCTATAATATTAGAAATCAAACATAGGAAAATCAATGGAAAAAGAGCAAACACATGGAAACTGAGTAACGCCCTCTTTGAAAATGACTAGGTAATAGATTTTCAAATTTGTTGGAATGTCATTAAAAAATAAAATAAAAAAATTCCTTGAATCAAATGAGAATGAAAATACAGCATACCAAAATCTTTGGGACACAGGAAAAGCAGTGATCCGAGGTCAATTTATATAAAAAAATGTACACATCAAAAAGAAGAGTCAAAATCAACACCTTAACCCAACATTCCAACAATTAGGAAAAAAGCAGCAAAAAAAGTCTACAGTCACCGGAAGAAAAGAAATAATAAAGATTCAAGCAGAAATCAATGAAACAGAAAATAGAAAGACAATAGAAAAAATCAACAAGACTAGAGGTTGGTTCTTTGAGAAGATTAATAAACTTGACAAACCACTGGCAAATTTAACAAAGGAAAAAAGGGAGAGAATACAAATAACACAAATAAGAAACAAATTGGGCAATGTCACAACAGAATCAACAGAAATTAAAAGGATATCAGGATACTATGAAGAACTATACTCCAACAAATTTGAAAATCTAGAGGAAATGGACAGATTTCTAGAAACATACTGCTCACCTAAACTAATACAGACTGAGGTGGAAAATTTAAACAGACCCATAACAAAGGAAGAAATTGAACAGGTCATTAAAAAATACAGAACAGAAATGAGAATCAGAAATAGATCGATCAACCCAAGGTCAGCTGATTTTTGACAATGGGCTGACATCCATTAAATGGGGAAGAGATGGCTCCTTTAACAAATGGTGACTCCAGATGCATCAAAGACTTAAATGTGGGGGGGCGGGCGGAGAAAGTCTCTGGCCCAGGCAGTTTGGGAGAATTCTACCAAACGCTCAGAGAAGAACTGACACCAATGCTACTCAAACCATTCCAGAACATAGAAAAGGATGGAATCCTCCCAAATTCATTTTATGAAGCAAAAAAAAAAGTTTTGATACCAAAACCAGGCAAAGACATCACTAAAAAGGAAAACTACAGACCAATATCCCTCATGAATGTAGATGCAAAAATATTCAACAAAATACTAGCCAATAGACTCCAATAACATATCAAAAAAATAATACATTATGACCAAGTGGGGTTCATATCAGATATGCAAGGATGGTTCAACATTAGAAAAACAATCAATGTCACTCATCACATAAATAAAACAAAGGAAAAGAACCACATGAGCATACAATTGATGCAAAAAAGGCATTTGATAAAATCTAACACCCATTCCTGATAAAAACTCTCACCAAAATAAGAATTGAAGGGACATTCCTCAACATAATAAAGGGCATATACACAAAACCAACAGCCAACATTATTCTGAACAAGAGACTGAAACCATTCCCCTGGTCTGGTGAACAGGAACCAGACAAGGATGCCCTCTATCACCACTTCTATTCAACATTGTATTGGAAGTCCTGTTGTTGTTGTTGTTATGTGCCATCGAGTTGTATCCAACTCATAGCCACCCCTCCTTGGGTTTCCGAGGCAGTATCAATATGGAAGTAGATTGCCCCATCTTCCTTCCGAGGAGTGGCTGGTGGGTTTGAACTGCCAGCCTTCTGGTTAGCAGTCAAGTGCCTTTGGCACTACGCTATCAGAGCTCCTGGGAAGTCCTAGCCAGGGCACAATAAGGCAAGAAAGGGAAATCAAAGGCATCCAAATTGGTTAGGAAGAAGTAAAACTATCCATATTTG